TCCAGAAAATCACGTCTGATTTTTAAAGAATTTATTTGCAAATCATGGTGGAAAATAAGCATTTGGTCAATACCAAAAGTTCATCTCAATACTTTGTTATATATCCTTTGTTGGCAATGACAGAGGTGCCTGTAATTTTCATCATAGGTATACCTCAACTATGAGACCTCTGTCATTGCCAACAAAGGATATATAACAAAGTATTGAGATGAACTTTTGGTATTGACCAAATGCGCCTGTAATTTTCATCATAGGTATACCTCAACTATGAGACCTCTGTCATTGCCAACAAAGGATATATAACAAAGTATTGAGATGAACTTTTGGTATTGACCAAATGCGCCTGTAATTTTCATCATAGGTATACCTCAACTATGAGACCTCTGTCATTGCCAACAAAGGATATATAACAAAGTATTGAGATGAACTTTTGGTATTGACCAAATGCGCCTGTAATTTTCATCATAGGTATACCTCAACTATGAGACCTCTGTCATTGCCAACAAAGGATATATAACAAAGTATTGAGATGAACTTTTGGTATTGACCAAATGCCTCATAGTTGAGGTATACCTATGATGAAAATTACAGGCTTCTCTCATCTTTTTAAGTGGGAGAACTTGCACAATTGGTGGCTGACTAAATACTTTTTTGCCCCCTGTACATAAAGCCACTAGGTGAGAACATCCATCACCACAAGCTGCATTGGTTGCCAGTTTGCTTCTGGGTTCAATTCAAGGTGCCGATTTTGACCTTTAAAGCCCTACATGGTGTGAGACCAGAATATTTGAAGGACTGCCTCTCCCCGGTTACATCTACCCATCTCATCAGGTCCAGCTGGAAGGTCACACCTGCTAAAGAGTTCCATCTGACGGGACCCAGGAGGCAGCCCTTTTCTGCCATGGTACCTGCCTTTTGGAACATCATTCCCCCCAAGGTGAGATTAGCCCTGATCCTATTGGCATAGCCCATGTAGAGTGCATTACAGTAATCCATTCTGGAGGTGACCAGGGCATGAGTGACTGAGAGTAGAGCCTCCCAATCCAGGAACGGGCACAACTGGCGCACAAGATGAAGTTGCCCAAAGACAAGGTAGAAAATCTAGAAAAAATTATAGAATTAATAAGTTTGGATCAAATTTATTTTCATTTGCCCTATGAATTAAAGGTAAAAATCAAACATAGGAATGACATTCAGTATTAAAAGCAGCTGAGGTGGGTAATTAGTTGGCGCTGAATAAAGAGGACTCACTTTTCAGATTTGGCAGTTCTACAGTAAATAAAATATTACTTTTGATCCAGTTTGAAAGACCTGTAGAGAAAAAGAGGAATCTTTTATTCTAAAAATGAGTAAGTTGACAAAATTTTCAGAGGAAAGGAGATGAAGAAGTAATCAAAAAGGGGCATATGAAGGCTAACTGTTGTTTCAAGAGGTGAGTGGCTGACAGGCAATCCAAACTACAAAGTGAGGTGCTACAAAGACATAAAACTAAAAAAGTAATGCAGCAACATATATTTCTTACTACTAACTATGATAATTAAATGACAACAAAGCATGTTATTGTTGGGAAGCAGAATATTTTGGGAATGGTAGACATAGGATCCTCCTTGTTTGTTAACAGTTCAGAACTGGAGGACAGGGGAAAACTCTAATAGGTATGTAATGTTATAAAGATTACTAAGTAAACATCTTTTTACATTATTAGTAACGAGTCCCAGTAGAGTGTGGAAGAGAAAAAGGATTATATTTGTGATGCTTACTCAAAAGCAGGGACTATAAGGGCATATTATGGAAATGAGACAGCTGGAGAAAAAAATACCAGTGATAACACAAACTGAAAAAAAGATTGCTGTGAAGAAAGCATTGGTTGTAGATAGGCAACCTGGAGAAGCTAGTAAAAAGCTGCAGAAGCAGATAGGAAGGCAATGTACAAAAATGAGTTGTTGTAGAAGAAGCAAGAATGCTAAAAAGATAGTCTAGAGAAGATGAAAGGCAAAACAGAAGAGTTTGTAATTTGAATTGCCTCTAGATACAACAATAGAAAATTTAGTAATGGAGGCATTAGTAAAAGCTATGGGTGAAACAGCTAAGAAATAATTGGTGACTGCTGTTAAGAAAATAGAATGCCAGACAAAGAAAGCAGAACAGTCAGATACAGTTGCTGAGAACGTGAAAACTACTACAAAGCAAGAGATGGTGAATTTGAAAAATAAGGAACAATGGAAAGAACTCTTAGGGTCAAGAGAAGCATTATCTTCAGTTCCATGATCACATAAAGAAAACTGAAGAAAAAGCTGAAGTTGCTATTAAGGATGAAGAGGATGAGATGATAGAAGACTCAAAGAAGCCTCAAAAGTGTGCAAAGTTGGCTGGACTGGTTCTGAAAACAATTCTTGGTGGTGGATCTTTTAGCTTTTCACTAAAAAGCCTGAAAGTGGTATAGCTTAAGCAGTTGCAGTTAAGCAAAGAGGCTATGAAGCTACAGACATTTCCCACCTCATTAGGAAAAATAGAATAAACCATAAAATGTTCAATAGGGAGACAAAGAAATGAATGCTAAACCAGAACCAACTATTGATGATAACGGTCCACTTAACAGAAATTGATACGGCATAGAGAAAAAGCAAAAAGAAGCAGCTATGGAAATAAAAGTCAATACATACTTGCAAACAAAAATGGAGAAAAAGCAAAAAGAAGCAGCTATGGAAATAAAAGTCAATACATACTTGCAAACAAAAATGGAGAAAAAGCAAAAAGAAGCAGCTATGGAAATAAAAGTCAATACATACTTGCAAACAAAAATGTGATTGCTAAATGCTTCATCGAAACAGGAAATATATAGAATGTATTTAATATTTTAGAGCAGAAAAATCTTTTACTTACATATGGTGTCTTGGAAGCAAAGCTTGAAGAAGAAAGGGAGTGTATGTGATAGAATGATAAACTACTGCATTCTGCTAAAAATCATAGGAGACCCATGTTAGAAAATGGTGGCAAAAAAAGCAGAAGGTATATTATAGTACTGATTCCAACTAACATGTTTTATTAAAAGATATGAACCTTCATCATCTGATGAAGTGAACTACAGCTCATGAAACTTATGCCTTTTAATAAAATTTGCATTCTCCTAAAATAAGTAAAGGGTTTACTGGGCACTTTCTTATAACGAGGTAGGCAGAAAGCTATGAAAATAGAGTGATAATAAAGATAGTTTATAGGGGGAAAGGAGACAATATATTTTAAAAGATACTTGTCCTTGTGACAAAATAAATTATGATTCTGTAAATAAGCATAAAGCAATATATATCCCATGTTATCTTGTAGGAGCAACTTATCCCTACAATTTATTTGTTGTTATATTATGATTACAATAAACAAAGTTTTCATTGTTTATAAACAACTGGTCCTTTGCTTAAATGAGAGACAGAATAAAGCTTCCACACCAAAATACAACATTACAAGATAACATCTTAAGAGAGAAGATGACATCAGTATAAGAACTCCTAGTTTGTCCTTTCTGGTGGTTGGAGCAAGAACCTAAGAGAAATTACATCATTTCTGACCATATAAAACCTGGTTTTACTACAAATTTGATCAGTTTGATTTTCTGCAGCTCTTTTGGCCAAGTATTCAAGTTCATGCCATCACTTTGCCCACAGGTGCAATATTCCAGATACTAAAATTTGAGAGTTTAATCAGATGCTATCCTATGAGGAGCTTTATGTGGAAAAATATTAGGCTAGGGTTTGTGCTGTCAGAAGCTTAGAACCCTCTAGAATTTTAGTACTGGAAATATATCCTGCTTGTAGGCAGGGAATTTTTAATTGTGTTTAGAAGGAGGGCTCATTGAAGATATTTTTAAGATAATTCACGATTGCCTGTAGATCTTAAAAATGTTGTTTTTGAGCCTTGATCACTGTTACCTCCCCGTCAACTGTTCTGGTTTATGCTCAGTTTCAAAGCATCATATTGACTGGATGGTAGCTAATACTCATCTGCCTCATTCTTCCTCAGAACCAGATAAATAGCAACCATTTACGAAGGGCTGAGCAAGAGATCACAAACCTGCAAGGAAAGGTCCAGTATTTGTCTGCACAAAACAAAGGGCTTCTGGCACAGTTAACTGAATCAAAACGAAAGCAAGCAGAGATTGAATGCAAGGTATGTGCAATGGATAAATGAATTGTATTCTATTGAGCATTGTACTTATAAACTTTAAAAAAATAATCTATGCTAATTGCATTAATATTACCTGACATCTTTTTCAGGAAGAATGGTAGATTTAATGCCAAATTATCATTAACATTGGGTTGCATTTACTTAAGTTATCAAACAGGATATCATCTATACATTAGATAAGTTTTTATTTTTAAAAAATCATGTATTATTATAATTTTACTTTATACGTTATATAACATACCAAGATACTCTATTGCAACCTCCCAGGTATGTTTGCAATGATTAGAGTATTAACTTGAAGATAGAGTATTGAGTTTATTCCGTAAAGAAGATCAGACATTTTACTCTTCAGAGCTTTGGGAAAGTTTTGCAACTTTTCTGCACCATGTATATTACCATGTTATGATTAAATAGAGAGTATTGTGACATTTACTGTTTGTGTGTGTCTCTTCTATATTTGCATACCTACAGATGATGCATTGCTCTGTTGTTAGGTCTGACCAAATGCTAAACAAGTTGCCTGGTTGTGCCAGTTGTTTGGATTTGTGTTTTTATTGTGCTTCTTGTGTGTTAGCATGCACACGAGAAAAAATATTAAAGGATTGGTAGGAGAGGAGATAAAACTCTTGTTGATGGACATGCATTTCAGAAATGGAGGGGCTAGATGGAAGGTGCTTCCCTGCTTAGCAGTGTTTTCCTGAATAAGCATTTTATTCTCTTGTTTAGACAGTCGAATGACTTGTAGAAATTCTGCAGTGGATATTGCTTTCAAAATGTGGATAGGCTTATATAGAAAAATATTTGGGTCAAAATAGAAATATATATACGTCTGGGTTTTTTTCCCTTAAATAATTGGCATCAATGAGCCTGATCCAGTTAAGAATTGTGTCTAGGTGGTGGTCTGTATGTGTTAACCCCTTATCCTTCCTTTGGTCCCCATCAGAATCTCTTCCTGTTTATTATTTGCTGAGGGAAGAAAGCTTAATGGTAAGATATGTGATAGATGTTTGTCTAGTTGGGCTTATGGAGAAGGTGGACACAGATTGTGGGAAAGAAGGTACAGTCATGATTCAACTCAGTATTCTGGTGCTGGCTATTGGTTACAACAAAGGCAGTCAGCTTTGCAGCAGCCAAAGACTACAGATTTTTTAAATTGGTGACATGGTCAAGGGCTACAGAGGACAGGGCAGTAGTATCATTGAAGTGGGCACAGTCTGTTTTTTCAGAGGTTAAGAATCTATACAATGTTTGGTCTTTTAGTTTTAAATGAAGGCTTAAATGCCACTTGTTTGTCACCGATCTTTGATTTAAAGGAAATATTTTGCAAGTTCAGTCTGTCTGGCAAACATTGCATTTAGTTTGACCTTTCATTAAATTGGTTTGTTTGCTTCTTTAAACAAATAGCTATACTTGATTACTATAACCTTACATCTGTTTTTTTTTAAAGGAAAACAAATCCTGAGAAAAATTAATATAGCTGATCATTTTTATAGAGTGAATGTTGATAATAGTCCAGTAGCTTAAAGTAACTATGGAATATCTTTAATGTCCATCCATTTGTTTTCTAAATCAATTTTCCTGTAATGTGACTCAACTTGTCACTTGCAACTTCTTTTTCCTAGAATAAAGAAGAAGTAATGGCTGTAAGACTCCGAGAGGCTGACAGCATGGCAGCTGTGGCAGAGCTCCAGCAACATATTGCAGAACTAGAAATCCAGGTAAGAATTAAAACAATTCCTCTTTTATGACTTCCCTTCAGTTTTAAGTTAAAATGCTTAACATAGAACATTAATTGATGGAACTATAAATTTAGAACTTTATTGCAAACAATCTCTAAACTTCTGCAGAAGCAGAAACAGTGTCCCTGACTAGTGGTTATCCATCCATACAGTTTTGATTGGGAAACAGCCTACCCATTTCTTTCTTTTTTTTTAATAATATTTTATTGAAATTTTAAAGTTACAAAGTTAAAAGTTAGTTTCTTTTTTTTTAATAATATTTTATTGAAATTTTAAAGTTACAAAGTTAAAAGTTAGTTTCTTTTTTTTTAATAATATTTTATTGAAATTTTAAAGTTACAAAGTTAAAAGTTAGTTTCTTTTTTTTTAATAATATTTTATTGAAATTTTAAAGTTACAAAGTTAAAAGTTAGAAATGAAAAAGAAAATTGGAAATACAAATTATAAAGAAAAGGAAAAGAAAAAGTGAGATAAAAAGAAAAAAGATATGAAAAATAGATAACTTCCAATCTATCTTTGGTCTTAGGAATAATAAGACTATCATAGGTGCTAGTTTTTAATACATTAAGTAGGAATAA